GCCCCCCAGCCCCCGTCAGTGTCCCCTGGCACCTATGGGTGCCCCCCAAATTGGGAGGGGATGGGGGGTGTCGGTATGGGGGCAGGGGAGAGCCTGGGTGGGGTTTGGGGACACTCTGGGGACCCTTGGGTCCTGTAAGGACACCCCAGCACCCATGGGTGCCCCCCAGCACCCATCAGTGTCCCCTGGCTCCCATGGGTGCCCCCCAGCACTGGGGGACCCCCACAGCTCCCCCATACAGGAAGAGACTGGGTGCCACTGGTGTGTGGGTGGGCTTTGGGGACACTAGTGGCACCCGTGGGGACACTCGGCACCCTTGGGTCCTGTAAGGACACCGCCAGCACCCATGGGTGCCCCCCAGCACCCGTCAGTGTCCCCCGGCACCCATGGGTGCCCCCCCCCATTGGGAGCAGTCGGACACCGTCCCCAGGTGACCCCATGTCTCTCCAGGGTGGCCCTGTCCCCAAGTGACCCCGTGTCCTGTCAGGGTGTCCCTGTCCCCAGGTGTACCCCATGTCCCCTCCATGTGTCCATGTCCCCACGTGACCCCGTGTCCTGTTTGTCCCCAAGTGACCCCGTGTCCCCTCCAGGTGGCCCTGTCCCTGAGTGACCCTGTGTCCTGTGAGTTCCCTGTCCCCAGGTGACCCCGTGTCCTGTGTGTCCCTGTCCCCAAGTGACCCCGTGTCCTGTCAGGGTGTCCCTGTCCCCAGGTGACCCCATGTCCCCTCCATGTGGCCCTGTCCCCGAGTGACCCCGTGTCCTGTGTGTCCCTGTCCCCAGGTGACCCCGTGTCCCCTCCATGTGTCCCTGTCCCCAGGTGACCCCGTGTCCTGTCTATGTCCCTCTCCGAGTGACCCCATGTCCCGTCTGTGTCCCCAGGTGACCCCATGTCCTGTGTGTCCCTGTCCCCAGGTGACCCCGTGTCCCATCCAAGTGGCCCTGTCCCCAGATGCCCTATGTCCCCTCTCTGTGGCCCTGTCCCCAGGTGACCCCGTGTCCCCAGGTGACCCCGTATCCTGTCTGTATGTCCCTGTCCCCATGTCACCCCCTGTCCCCGGGTGACCCCTGTGCTGGGGTGTCCCCAGCGTCTCCCTGATGGCAGCCGGTGACAGCGGGTGACCCCTGGTGGCACTCGAGTGCCTTCCATGTGCCCCACTGTCACCCACGCCCTGGTGGCACGTGCCAACCCCCGCCTGGCCCCGCGTCAGTTCTGCCTGTCCCCGTGTCACCCGGGGGTGCCCGGTGTCCCCAGGGGTGCTTGCTGTCACCCGTGGTGCCCTGTGTCCCTGGGTGCCCAGTGTCCCCCCTGTTCCCACTGTCCCTGTGGTGCCCGTTGTCCCCAGGTGCCTGTTGTCCCCCCGTGGCGCCCATTGTCCCCTGGGTGCCTGTTGCCCCATGGTTCCCGTTGTCACCCTGTGGTGCCCATTGTCCCTTGGGTGCCTGTTGTCCCGCGGTGCCCGTTGTCACCCCACGGTGCCTGTTGTCCCCAGGTGCCTGTTGTCACCCCATGGTGCCCATTGTCCCTTGGGTGCCTGTTGTCCCAGGGTGCCCGTTGTCCCCCCCGCGGTGCCTGTTGTCCCCTGGGTGCCTGTTGCCCTGTGGTGCCCGTTGTCCCGCTGTGGTGCCTGTTGTCCCCAGGATGCCCAGTGTCCCCACAGTGCCCATTACTCCCATGGTGCCCGGTGTCCCCACGATGCCCGGTGTCCCCGCAGTGCCCATTGCACCTATGATGCCCGGTGTCCCCATGGTGCCCGTTACTCCCGTGGTGCCCGGTGTCCCTGTGGTGCCTGTTGTCCCCCGGGTGCCCGGTGTCCCCATGGTGCCTGTTGTCCCCCGGGTGCCCGGTGTCCCTGTGGTGCCTGTTGTCCCCCGGGTGCCCGGTGTCCCCATGGTGCCCGTTGTCCCTGTGGGGCCCGTTGTCCCCGGGGTGCCGGTGTCCCCATGGTGCCTGTTGTGTCCCCGGGGCCCGGTGTCCCTGTGGTGCCCGGTGTCCCTGTGGTGCCCGTTGTCCCTGTGGTGCCCCGTGCCCCCGTGGTGCCTGGTGTCCCCGTGGTGCCCGTTACCCCCATGGTGCCTGGTGTCTCCCGGGTGCCTGATGTCCCCGTGGTGCCCCATGCCCCTGTGGTGCCCATTGCCCGCCGCGTGCCCGTTACACCCATGGTGCCCGTTGTCTCCCGGTGCCCCCCGGGTGCCCGGTGCGGGGCGTGACGGCGTGCCGCACAGCGTGGACCGGAAGGGGCAGTACCACTACCTGGTGAAGTGGCGGGACCTGCCCTACGACCAGGCCACCTGGGAGGAGGACGAGATGCCCATCCCCGACTACGACCTCCACAAGCTGGCCTACTGGAAGCACCGGTGAGGGACAGGGTGACACGGGGGGACATGGGGACACGGTGGGGGGGCACGGGGACATGGGGACGTGCCTACTGGAAGCACCGGTGAGGGATGGGGGGACATGGGG